AAGATGTATTTACGATATTCTACAACGAAAAAACGCCTTTCTAGGTTATAAAACAAGAAGTTCAAAAAGTCGAAAAATTGACATTTTTCCAAAGGGATTAATCCATGGTTTTGGTCCAAAAATGGCCATTTTTCCAACTTTTTTTTTTAAGGCAATATAGGCCAGGAAAATGTGTTTTACGATATTCTAGAAGGGAAAAACGCCTTTCTAGCCTATAAAAACAGGAAGTTCAAAAAGACGAAAAATTGACATTTTTCCAAAGGGGTTAACCCATGGTTTTGGTCCAAAAATGGCCATTTTTCCAACTTTTTTTTTTAGGCAATATAGGCCAAGAAAATGTGTTTTACGATATTCTAGAACGAAAAAACGCCTTTCTAGCCTATAAAATCAAGAAGTTCAAAAAGACGAAAAATTGACATTTTTCCAAAGGGGTTAACCCATGGTTTTGGTCCAAAAATGGCCATTTTTCCAACTTTTTTTTTTAGGCAATATAGGCCAAGAAAATGTGTTTTACGATATTCTAGAACGAAAAAACGCCTTTCTAGCCTATAAAAACAAGAAGTTCAAAAAGACGAAAAATTGACATTTTTCCAAAGGGGTTAACCCATGGTTTTGGTCCAAAAATGGCCATTTTTCCAACTTTTTTTTTTAGGCAATATAGGCCAAGAAAATGTGTTTTACGATATTCTAGAACGAAAAAACGCCTTTCTAGCCTATAAAAACAAGAAGTTCAAAAAGACGAAAAATTGACATTTTTCCAAAGGGGTTAACCCATGGTTTTGGTCCAAAAATGGCCATTTTTCCAACTTTTTTTTTTAGGCAATATAGGCCAAGAAAATGTGTTTTACGATATTCTAGAACGAAAAAACGCCTTTCTAGCCTATAAAAACAAGAAGTTCAAAAAGACGAAAAATTGACATTTTTCCAAAGGGGTTAACCCATGGTTTTGGTCCAAAAATGGCCATTTTTCCAACTTTTTTTTTTAGGCAATATAGGCCAAGAAAATGTGTTTTACGATATTCTAGAACGAAAAAACGCCTTTCTAGCCTATAAAAACAAGAAGTTCAAAAAGACGAAAAATTGACATTTTTCCAAAGGGGTTAACCCATGGTTTTGGTCCAAAAATGGCCATTTTTCCAACTTTTTTTTTTAGGCAATATAGGCCAAGAAAATGTGTTTTACGATATTCTAGAACGAAAAAACGCCTTTCTAGCCTATAAAAACAAGAAGTTCAAAAAGACGAAAAATTGACATTTTTCCAAAGGGGTTAACCCATGGTTTTGGTCCAAAAATGGCCATTTTTCCAACTTTTTTTTTTAGGCAATATAGGCCAAGAAAATGTGTTTTACGATATTCTAGAACGAAAAAACGCCTTTCTAGCCTATAAAAACAAGAAGTTCAAAAAGACGAAAAATTGACATTTTTCCAAAGGGGTTAACCCATGGTTTTGGTCCAAAAATGGCCATTTTTCCAACTTTTTTTTTTAGGCAATATAGGCCAAGAAAATGTGTTTTACGATATTCTAGAACGAAAAAACGCCTTTCTAGCCTATAAAAACAAGAAGTTCAAAAAGACGAAAAATTGACATTTTTCCAAAGGGGTTAACCCATGGTTTTGGTCCAAAAATGGCCATTTTTCCAACTTTTTTTTTTAGGCAATATAGGCCAAGAAAATGTGTTTTACGATATTCTAGAACGAAAAAACGCCTTTCTAGCCTATAAAAACAAGAAGTTCAAAAAGACGAAAAATTGACATTTTTCCAAAGGGGTTAACCCATGGTTTTGGTCCAAAAATGGCCATTTTTCCAACTTTTTTTTTTAGGCAATATAGGCCAAGAAAATGTGTTTTACGATATTCTAGAACGAAAAAACGCCTTTCTAGCCTATAAAAACAAGAAGTTCAAAAAGACGAAAAATTGACATTTTTCCAAAGGGGTTAACCCATGGTTTTGGTCCAAAAATGGCCATTTTTCCAACTTTTTTTTTTAGGCAATATAGGCCAAGAAAATGTGTTTTACGATATTCTAGAACGAAAAAACGCCTTTCTAGCCTATAAAAACAAGAAGTTCAAAAAGACGAAAAATTGACATTTTTCCAAAGGGGTTAACCCATGGTTTTGGTCCAAAAATGGCCATTTTTCCAACTTTTTTTTTTAGGCAATATAGGCCAAGAAAATGTGTTTTACGATATTCTAGAACGAAAAAACGCCTTTCTAGCCTATAAAAACAAGAAGTTCAAAAAGACGAAAAATTGACATTTTTCCAAAGGGGTTAACCCATGGTTTTGGTCCAAAAATGGCCATTTTTCCAACTTTTTTTTTTAGGCAATATAGGCCAAGAAAATGTGTTTTACGATATTCTAGAACGAAAAAACGCCTTTCTAGGCTATAAAAACAAGAAGTTCAAAAAGTCGAAAAATTGACATTTTTCCAAAGGGGTTAACCCATGGTTTTGGTCCAAAAATGGCCATTTTTCCAACTTTTTTTTTTAAGGCAATATAGGCCAGGAAAATGTCTTTTATGATATTCTAGAACGAAAAAACGCCTTTCTAAGCCATAAAAACAAGAAGTTCAAAAAGTCGAAAAATTGACATTTTTCCAAAGGGGTTAACCCATGGTTTTGGTCCAAAAATGGCCATTTTTCCAACTTTTTTTTTTAAGGCAATATAGGCCAGGAAAATGTCTTTTATGATATTCTAGAACGAAAAAACGCCTTTCTAAGCCATAAAAACAAGAAGTTCAAAAAGTCGAAAAATTGACATTTTTCCAAAGGGGTTAACCCATGGTTTTGGTCCAAAAATGGCCATTTTTCCAACCTTTTTTTGTTAGGCAATATAGGCCGAGAAAATGTGTTTCACGATGTTCTAGAACGAAGAAACGCCGTTCTAGCCTATAAAAACAAGAAGTTCAAAACAACAAAAAATTGACAAAAGACGAAAAATTGACATTTTTCCAAAGGGGTTAACCCATGGTTTTGGTCCAAAAATGGCCATTTTTCCAACTTTTTTTTTTAGGCAATATAGGCCAAGTAAATGTGTTTTACGATATTCTGGAATGAGAAACGCCTTTGTAGCCTATAAAAACAAGAAGTTCGAAAAGACGAAAAATTGACATTTTTCCAAAGGGGTTAACCCATGGTTTTGGTTTAAAAATGGCCATTTTTCTAACTTTTTTTTTTTTTTAAGGCAATATAGGCCAGGAAAATGTCTTTTACTATATTCTAGAAAGAAAAAACGCTTTTCTAGGCTAGAAAAAGAAGAAGTTTAAAAAGTCGAAAAAATTGACATTTTCCCATTGGGGTAACACCCATTGTTTTGGACCAAAGATGGCCATTTTTCCGACTTTTTTTGTTAGGCAATATAGGGCTGGAAGATGTATTTACGATATTCTACAACGAAAAAACGCCTTTCTAGGCTATAAAAACAAGAAGTTAAAACGTCGGAAAATTGACATTTTTCCAAAGGGATTAACCCATGGTTTTGGTCCAAAAGTGGCCATTTTTCCACTTTTTTTTTTTAGGCTTTATAGGCGAGGAAAATGTTTTTTACAATATTCTAGAACGAAAAAACGCCTTTCTAGGCTTTAAAAACAGGAAGTTCAAAAAAACGAAAAATTGACATTTTTTCAAAGGGGTTAACCCATGGTTTTGGACCAAAAATGGCCATTTTTCCTAATTTTTTTTTTTAGGCAATATAGGCCAAGGAAATGTCTTTTACGATATTCGAAGAACGAAAAAACGCCTTTCTAGGCTATAAAAACAAGAAGTTCAAAAAAGTCGAAAAATTGACATTTTTCCAAAGGGGTAAACCCATGTTTTTGAAAAAACGCCTTTCTAGGAAGAAAAACAAGAAAATCAAAACCACGAAAAAGTGACATTTTTCCAAAGGGGTTAACCCATGGTTTTGGTTCAAAAATGGCCATTTTTCCAACCTTTTTTTAAGGCAATACAGGCCAGGAAAATGTCTTTTACGATATTGTAGAACGAAAAAACGATTTTCTAACCTATAAAAACAAGAAGTTCAAAAAGTCGAAAAATTGACATTTTTCCATGGTTTTGGTAAAAAATTGAATTTTTTCCACACTTGGTTTTTGGCCAAAATAAGCCGAGAAATATTGTTTACTGATACTCTTAATAGAAGAGAAGGGTTTGTTTAACAAATTTTTTTTTTGAAAAAAGTGGAAAAATTCGAATTTTTGCAAAGGGGATAGTCCATGGTTTTTTTTAAAAATTGGAATTTTTTCCATACTTTGTTTTTGGCCAAAATAGACTGAGAAATATTGTTTGCTAGAATTATTGTTTGTTTTCATTGTAGATAGAAAAGGAGCCTCTAAAGATAATAAAATGCATTTTTGAGATTGTCACTAAGTTTTGTGTTTTTGGAGGGGTTACCATGTAGTTAGTTATTATACAGGAAAATAAACTTTAAATAAATAAATAAAAAGGGAACAACAAAGGAGAAAATAAGAATTGTTACCCAAAATCATTGGTTAACCTCTTTGCAGAAATCATAAATGACCACGATCAAAATTAAACTGGTATGGTTAAATCCTGGACCAAGAATAAGCGTGTAACAAAAACAGAAAGAAATAAAGAAGTAATAGAAGAAAAAATCTTCACCCACAATCATGGGCTAATGACTTAACAAAAATCCTAGATGCAGGCTACCAATACCGACCGTTTCCTATCTTTTGTATCGTCGTTTAGTGAAAAGTACCAGCACATTAAACTTCACCTGCACAGTACACAAGCTACACCAAATTAAACCGAACACCACCGCCCTACACAAACTTCACAACACAAAGTCATTTATTCTATATTTTGACGGTTACTGATGTACGTAACACAAGTGACGTGATCATTAGCCTGCCTAGCAAGTGTTTCAGGGACGGGATGGAGGGGAAAATGAGGAAAAATTTCCTTTTCTCCCCTCCCCCACTCCCTTCTTGCCTCTTTTTTGCTCTCACCCCAACTTTGTTGACGAACTCATGCGCAGGCTATGTGATCACGAACACAAAAAATTGTTAATAGAGGTGATTGAAGATAGGTTGCTCGGTCTTAGGTTTGGATCTGTTTCTTTTGCTGACAGCTGTGTAAAATACTCCATACTCTGAAACTTCAACACCTAGTAAACAGAAAATAAAGTTACCTCAGTCTCCAACACAGTTGTGAAGCTACGCAGCCTGTTGTTGTGTCTACTAGTAATGGATAGCAAGTCAAACTTCAGATCTGTATGTCCGGGTTGAAGCATGACTGATGTGTTGTTTCCTAACACAATACTTTTTGCTCCACTTTGATGGACTAGCACCCTGTCTTAGACTTAGAGAGTAAAAGCATTTGCAGGACGCTGTGGGTGTGCATTGTGGTAAAAGTCGTAAAAAAGGCAACAATTAGTAATGTGCAACTTGTTTTGGAACATTATTTGCATGTTTTTACAAACTGAAGCGCTTTCCTTTCTTTGGACACATTAGGGCCATTTATACAAGGGAAAATAAGACGCGTCCTAAAATAAGACGCAAACTGTCCTGTATAAATAGCACATTAAGACGCACCTCAGCTAAGAGGCCTCTTATCGAAGAGCAGGTGTTAAGGGCTGTTCTTAAATAAGATGCGTCTTAGCTAAATTTCCAAAGAAATGTGCTGTTTATACGGGATAGTTTGTGTCTTATTTAGGACGCATCCTATGTAAGACGCATCTTATTTCCCTCGTATAAATGGCCCTATTCCTACTTGTAATACAACCACATTAAAAATTATGTCTTTCTGTAAACAAAAAATAGAGCATTCATTCTTGTTTTGATAATAACAATTTCCTCTTAAAATCGCAACTGGTAGGAGGTAAACCAGACGAGTTAGCTAATTTACAGACGTGGCCGAGGTTTTGAACGTGGGACTACTGAGAACAAATCCAGTTGGTGGTCAGAGTGGGACTCAAACTCTAGCCTTGGAAATACAAGTCAAGTCCATTGCTCTAACCGCTCGGCAACGCTACCTCCGTACAATCTTGAATTGACCTCCAATAACAATCTAATAACTTCTTACCTCATTTCCCCAGCTTGTCCAGTGTGGTGTTAAGTTTCGTGCAAACATCTCAAGGCATCGAGAAGAGGGTGGTATATAACAGGAGAGAATTTCTGCAGAAGGGGTATCAGTGTTAGTATAGTCAAATAAAGTTTAGGGAAAAACGAGCCAAATGTGCTCTGTAGAGGTAAGCAGCTCTGTACTATTTAATAGTACAGAGATGCTCACCTCTGGAGATCTAAAATCTGTGGACTTTCTTTACAGTACCCTCCACGTCAATCCCCCCAATAACAAATTGACCCAGTCCACTAAATTAAGCATTGGTGTGACGCAAGACATTATACGCAGTCTCACATGAAATACAGAACATCAAAATTCACTTTTTGATTAAATAGACTTGTCCCTGATGAAATACATGCAAAACTGACACCGAAACTGTACTAATATATAGATTTAGCCAGGGCTAAAAGCGAAGCTCCCACTAATAAATTTATAAGAAATTTAAATCAAACACATTCATGTGTCTTTTGAGGGAAAGGCTAAATGATTTTAAAGAAAAATAATTTACAAACAGTCCAAGAGTGAAACAAATCCGACATCAAGTTAATAGCCTTATATGTACACCCAAACGATACCAATCATCTTGACGAGTCAAGAGCCACAATGGCTCTTGATCACAGTAGATTAGCCAATTTACAGTACATTGTAATATTAAAAGGTTGCATTCCCTTTCTAAAAGGGGGGCAAAAATAAAAAATCAAGCCAAATTTTCTGTTTGACAACTTTACTTTACAAAATCGAGCCAACAAAATTAATCTGGTGACTAGATTATACTTTTTATACATCACATCTGAGGTAAACAGTACTATCCGGCATTGTTTTTTTTAGTAAGCTTACATACCTCGGGCAGAATGCGGTTTTTCACAATTTTGCAGGACAAATTGTACTCATTCATTCATTTATTAAATGAAAGTTTCTGAAGATCTGTCATCTAGACTTACCATTCAGAGGTGGTTTCCTGGAGTGGATCCTGCAGGGCACACTACAGATCACTTGTTCATATGGTAATAATCTTTCCCATCCTCTCTTTGATGACTCTACTGAATCTAAGGAGTGGCCAGTATCTTTTACATTTCTTTTTAGGTTGATATCTGTACCAGTATTACAAACTGCTTCATTTACTTGTAAGTCTAAAAATTCATCATCATCACTTGACCTTTCTAATTTATACGACAGGTGTTTTAATCCACAAAGCATTGGTCTGTGTTCATGTGATTTTTGCCAAGTCACAGTTTGCAACATGTCATGCACATTTTTACTTTCAGTACCATCAGCTGCTGTAGTAATTTTGTTGAAATCTTGGATGCAAAAATTAGTGTCACTTTCATTGCTTGCAAGTCTTTTCCTTTTCATTTGTGGTGATGAAGTATTCCAGAATTCCCTTTGTTCTAAGCTACACCTCTTCTTGTCTTCATCAAACTTGTCATCCATAATCAAATTCGAACAATATTCCCTCAAACCATTATCCCCTTCTGGTTTAAATCTGCCAATCAATAAAGGCTCATAAGGTTTCTTATGTGGTGAATCCAAATCAGTTACCAGTTCTCCTCTTCTTGTGACCTTAACCCAGTACCACTCTGCCACTAACTCAACTGACCAATGAGGAAAAAGCTCTGACTTGGTGAACCTGAGATACTTTTGTTTGTTTGTTACCCAGATCCCCACCAGTGCTCCAGGAGCAAGAAGCTGGGGGACTGGTAGAGACTTGATCTGCCATAGGGACATGAAGGAATACCTTTAACAGAAGATAAACAAAGTGAAACACTTGAACAGTTCTGAATCAAGGGATGTTAAAACTGGAGCCTTAAAATGCCGGTTACATCTTCCCTTGACAGAGGCAGCTTCTGTGTGCCACTCTTCAGGCTGGTTTTCACTAGTGACGAAGTCAGAATCAGGGTCGGAGTCATAATCAGAAGTGTGGCTAGTGCTTATCATCTAGTGAAAACAGTGTTCTGATTTTGCTTATGACTCCGTTGCTTACATTCAGCTTATGATCTAGTGAAAACCAGATTGTCAGAGTCAGAAGCAGAAGCGGAAGAACTAAACCAATCACAAAGCGTGGGAATGTGCATTGTTATTGGTTTATCCTGCCGTTATTCTAACTCTGATCCCGCCATGCTTACGACTCCACCTACGATTCCGATTTTTTATTTTCACTAGGGGATAAGCGGTCTTACAACTCTGCTTACAACTCTGAATCTGACTCTGTCGCTAGTCAAAATCAGCCTTTACAGTATATCCACATAGCGAGGCTGTAAAAACTTTAAGGGAAAAATGGTGCGGCAAAGGACAGGAAGAGGCAAGGAGTACTTGGCATAATTTCTTTGCTTTCTATCTTCCCCTATCCTTTGGCTTTTTAAATGAATCCTTTCTCAAACCTTTTACACCTGGACCACATCATGCCAAGATTATTTATTTTATTATTCTAACCAATAAATCTGTAGATGAAATCTTATGGTGTTACCATTCAAATAAAACTTATTGGGCAGAACTTTCACATAGTACTGTTTACTTTAGGCCGTTAACAAAACCCGGATCGGATTGCTCGGATCGGATCGGATTGTGGATCGGATCGGACTCCGGATCGGATCGGATCGGATCGGACTGACAATTCGCCTTAAATTCCCGCCAAAATGGTCACGTGACATCCCCCGGAATGAAGATGGCGGAGAGAAGAGTATGTATACAATCTTCTGTAACTAATTTAGTGTTTCTTTTCTTTTTTTTTATTGTAAAGTGATCTCGTTATTTTCTGAGCCTACTTGAACGGAGGTGACATTTAAGATGTCATTCGCTTATTGACAACAAGTCGTCGCTATCGTACCTTGCTTATTACCGCGATTTTCTTAATCGTCTCCTCTGAAAAGAAGCATTCAATCCAAGCTCAGTGAGAAAGAAGACCAATTCAGAAGAGAGTGGAGATGAAAAGAAAAACAAAATCATTGCAATGAGAGATACGTACATCTCTGTCCGCCATCTTCGATTCGGGAGACGTCACGTGACCAAGCCTCTTTTTGGAATTGTAATCGTATGAAGTTATGCAACAGAAAATTTCCCAGTGCAGTTCAGTTGAAAATAATTCTTTGCGATGATTTTAAAGCTGATGGTGAATTTTAAGCCTGGTGATACATGAGAAACTATTTTTTTGGTATTAGTGACACAGGCGGCTCGGAAGAAAAAATCCGAGTCGAACCGGTTAGACTCACGTTGTGAGAACTCGGCTTTCTTATTCCGAGCCACCTGTGTCATTGTTAAAGCAGCTTTTGTCAAAATAATTCTTCTGCACCAAAAGCGAAGACACTAGTCCGATCCGTAATCCGATCTGATCCGATCCGGAGTCCGATCCGATCCGATCCGATCCAAGCAATCCGATCCGGGTTTTGTTAACGGCCTTTACTTTACAAGATTTGACAAAACAAAACAAAAATTTGATTTTGTTTGTGATTTTATTCTTTGGTCACTGTCAGCAATAAAAGGGTTATCGAAGAAGTGTGCCATATACCTTTTTAACAAGGGGTAATAAATTATAGGAGGGGTGGCGAATGGTAAAATCCGAGACTTGCTGAGATATCGAAATCCTAGTTTCTTGAATCAGTGCCCGAGACTCTTTGGTGAAAAGTTCCGAGACTGAAAAAAAGTAAAAACAAACCATGAAAAAAAGAGACTTCGAGACTTATGAAAAACGCTTCCAAGATTTTGAGATCCTGCCAAAATTTTCTGAGACCCACGTTTTTCGAGGTACCATTCGCCACCCCTTATAGGGTACGGGGTGATATTAAGTAGGATTTTGGTATACATTTACTTAAGTGGAGAAAAACTAGAAGTTATCGTCATACTTTGAGCCTCGTCTTGCAGACTTGTTATACCAAGGAGGATCTAGCACTACTAGATTATAAAGTCCATTTTGTTGGGCTGTGAAAATAAAAGAAAATAATTAAAATAAATTATGAGTTAACAAATGTAAAATCTTACTGCTGGCATCCATTGGTAAAAGAAAAAGATAGTACCATTTTCAGTCACTATTCTGAAAAAAAGGAGGCAGATTTTTTTGAAACTGGAGAAAACAAACTCTGTTTTCAAACAAAAAGAGTTGACAAGGCTTAGACCTGGTTAGCTTTATAGTTGGGAGTGCTCAGGGGAGCTCAAGACTGCTGAGCAGGATGTCTGGGTTCAAATCCTGGCTGGATCACAATTCGGGGTCTTTAACCTTTTTAAGTCCCAACCGTGGCAGGATTAGCTCAGTCGGTAGAGCGCTTGACTGCAGAGCGGGAGGTCGCGGGTTCGATTCCCGGGGCGGGACCAATACTTAGGGTCTTAAAATAACTGAGAAATGAAGGTACTTCCTTTGCCCTGCGGGCAGCTGGACCTTCGCGTGGCTCGGATGACCACGTAAAATGGCGGTCCCGTCTCCATCAGGAGACGTTAAAATGAGGGTCACAAGTTTATTAGCCTTTGGCTATTAAGTGCTACCCTCTTTAAATAAAGGCTATTTTATTTTTTATTTTTTTAAGAGTGACCAACATTATTTTTCTCTTTGCAATACCAATAAATAATCAAGAAGAAAAGGTTATGAGATGTAATCAAATGATCATGATCACCTCAGGGAAAATGCTATGATCTTCTATCAAATTCTCTCAACCTATTCCTTAACCCTTTAAGTCCCAATGGTGACCAACATCAATTTTCTCCCAACAATATCCATACCTTATCAAGAGATTAGGTTATGAGAATTTATGAAATGATCACTAAAGAGAAAATGCTTTGATCTGCCATCAAATTCTCTCAACTAATTCTTAAAGGAAATGTATGGAGATCAGTTTGGAGAATTTGTATGTGGATATTGGGGCTTAAAGGGTTAAGGAAATCTATGGAGACCAGTTTGGACAATTTGTAAATGGATATTGGGTCTTAAAGGGTTAAATAACTGAGGAGAATGTGCTGTCTTCGTAATGACACCTGCAAATGGTTAGACTTTCTAGTCTTCTTGGATAAGGCCAAAAAAACCATAGGTCCCGTCTCACAGCACTTTCACTTATCTGGATCTTATGGGAAGTAAAAAAACCCACAACACTGTTCGAAAAGAGTAGGGGACGTAGACCCTGGTGGTGTGGCCAACTTCTCCTAGGTTGGGTGGCTTACCTTTAAGGACACACTTAAATTGGAGGCCCACTCTGTTGTGTGGTTCGCACCACATGGTGGAAGTGATTAAAATTAAAATAAATAGAGTGTTATATGACAACAGGTAGTATCCAAAAATACTAACCATGATCAATAAGAGGTTTTAAGTTGCTTGAATCAGACATCAAGAAAGTACACTGAGGAGGTATAATGTACGGCTGTCCACAAGTAATGCTGGCTCTTCTTTTAAATGGGATATCAAATGACCGAATAAGTTGTGTTCACTGGGAAGATTTTTATCTGTAGAAATTAAAAAAAAAAGATAAAACATTTACAGCTTTTAAGTCTGGTCTGGACATGTCTGTTGCCTGTGCATTTATTGTTTTTGATCGGCAGGTACAAAACGCAGGTAACAAGTACAGGTTAGAGTACAGGTCACAGTACTGTGCTACAGTAAATAAACAACACTGAAAGTGTCTCCTAGCCCTAATCCAATCCAAAATAGAGTTTTGGCTTAAGGGGAAACCGGTTATGTCCTTATTTATCAATACTGCAGTGACCTGAACTTGTGACTAATCTGTGACCAGTGTGTCTTGTACCTGCCATTCCCTCATAGGGAAGTTTTAGTGTTTAAAAGGCTGGGTGGTTTTTAATCTCCTGGACATTCAATTTTGCTATCCTGGTACATCATGATAGACATTAACGACAGAAAAAGATGCAGCTGTTAAAAACAATAAAGACAACTGGCTTGCCTCATTAACTGAACTCTAGTTTCCAAAAAAAACACATTCACAAGGTTAAATTTGAAATGAGGGCATTTACAACTGAAAAAAATGCAACAGAAATTTGTTTCAATATATAATCTAAACAGGAAACAAATGTTTAGAGCAAAACTGTTCACCAGGGCATATTGCAGTGAGTAGGAACTTCATTCCCAGGGTCCTACACGGCCCCTGGGAGTGAAGAAGCCTGGGAATGAGGTTAAGAGCGTACATCAGTTTGACCATCATTTGCATTATAAATAGCCATTGTAAAGAGATTGAATGCCCTTAATTAAGTTGTTGCATGCCTCTATTGCAGAAGCAGCTGTTGTAGCAATGGCTGCTTCAGATCTTCAAGTAGGTTGGATACCCACTTATCTAGACCCTGTGCCACCCTTAGGCCGCTCTAAGAGCGTCAATTTGTCCTAATAGTAAGGTGGTGACCAAGGCTCTGGGTCCTCCCCTTATAGATCTGCTTCCAGGGGCCTGTTTCTCAAAAAGCCCGGAAACTTTTCAAGTCCAAAGGCAAATTTTAAAATCAAAACCTGTCACAAACCAGTCACTTTTGCTTCATCAACTGACAGTTTCACTGTATTATTCTCAAAACTATTGAAACTTTGCTCTTGAATGCAAACACAACAAACAAAAAACAGCTTTCTGGGCCTGAAAAGTTACTGGAATTTTCACGAAACAGGCTCCTGGACAGAAAAAAATTCTGTGCAAGCTTCTGCTAATTGTTTGCTGTGGGCTCAATGCAAGCTTCTCTGTGTGTTTGTTTGTATCATGCTGAGAGGCATCAAGAAAACCTGGATTGGACTGGATCGGATCAACCCCTATATTCCACCAAATAATAAGAGGTTAGGGATAGTGTTCTGGGGGTTTACCCGATCCGGTCCGATCCAGGTTGATTGTCAACAGCCCATTATGAGAGACTTGTTCACAAGGTAAAAATGTTTGTAGAGAGGTTGCCATTAGTTAAGATTTGTTTCTACAACAAACAGCACATTCATAAATGAATTGTGTGTTGGTTGGAGCACTATGCCATGATTTAGTAAAATAAAAAAAATTGGAAATTTTACCTGGCACTACTGTACATGAATCTACTTCAAAGTCCTCACAACTGGAAAGAAAATATCTTTTTTCTACCCCAGTCCTCACAAGATTCTCCAGGACTTTAAGAATTGTCCCTTTCACCTTAATGTATGAAAACAAAGATTTGATAAAATTAACAGTGATTAATAAAACGCATTTAGATGCAATTTAACCAAGTTAACAACAAGGAGCTTTAGCCTTATTCTGCTGGCCAGCAGTGTTATGAGATGTGCATGCACCAGTATCCCACCTGCTCTTGCAGTTGTGTGCACTGTAGCATGTTCTAGAGTGCTTTTAGCATTCTGATGTTTTGGCATCTTTGGCCATTTTATTGCAGTTTCCAGAACGTTATTCATCTCGCTTGAGTTTATTTTTAGTGTTCTGGCATCGGTGTGTTTGGGCATTTTTTAGTGGTGACTGAGCAGTGGCGGATCCACACCTTCAGACAAGGGGCGGGGATCCCGGTCATCCAGACCCCGAGATAAGGGGGAGGGGGGCAGGCGCAAAAATTTCTTTTCCGTTTGGACTAAAAATAAGGGGGACCCCTCCCCTGGATCTGCCACTGCTGAGTCAGTTTATAGCATTCCCCACCTCCCCCATGTTTATCCATATTTTCACTGACTTGCTCAGTGTGGCGAGTGCCTGCTTTCTTCCCTTGCACATGGGGACTCATGACTAGGTTACCAGGATCTGCCAGCCATGGGAGCAGTCTCTTTCTAGGAGGTGGCTGCCAATAGAGAGGAGAAGTGTGACATCCTATTACCATGGTAGCAAAATTTCTGGATCACAACAATAGGGAGCTTTAGCAACAACGACAGCAACAGCAACGAAAATGGCAAAAAAGAATAGGTTTATATTAGCAAAACAACAACTTTGGACTTGCATCATGATATTTGGTACATTTCTTTATAGCCATTGAGGTACAATTATTGCGACATCCAACAACCTAATTTCACGCGCCCGCTTTATGGAGAAGGCGAACAAAACACAAAAATGTTCTTTTTCTTTTTCTAAACTTTGATACCATCCTTTCAGATTCAACTCCAGAAAATTCTGCCAACATTTGACAAATTAAATGAAAGTGAATAGGATTATGAAGTTTGAAACAGTGCAAAAAAATTAAATTAATTCACTTTTTAAGAGACATTTTCGGTTTGTTGTCATCCAGAAATTCTGCTACCATGGCAATGTGACGTAATGACTTCTACTCTCAATGGTGGAAGCTCCTGGATATCTCAGGCACCTCAATGCAGTTGTTCAATAACTGACTGAGGTGAAACTCTGCCTTTAGGATTAATTCACAAGTTTGGTTCCAGTAAAAAAAATTATGCCAATGATAAATAAATAAATTAGAAAAATAATGGTAAGAAAAAAATGTGTTTAAGTACCCTCTGGTGGTAAAGAGGAGCTTCTGTGTCCTTCTCCTTCTCAACTGGATAACCTTTCACGGATTTTTTTCGCTGGGTTTACAGAGAGGGGAAGAAAAACATTTAATTATTGACTTAGAGCACAAGACACGTCCGGTCAAAGAAGGCCATTAGAGACTGTGAAAGGTTTTTAGTGGAGTTACAACAATGCAACAAGGGGTAATAAAATAAAAATATAGGAAGGGTATGGGGTGGTAGTAAGTACAGTAAAAACCCACGAGTAAGAACCTAAGATTTAAGAACCTGTTAGGCTAAAATTTGCAATTTAGACCCCCTCTATATAAGAACCTCTTTAGCCTAAAATTTGGTGAAAGGTTCTTATTTTCAAAAATCATTTAAAAATATTTACTAATTGCAATTGCAAAAGGTAAGTTAGTACATATATATGTGTTGTTTGGTTGAGGTCATTGAGAAAATGTTTATAATATTGTGTTTTAAAGCACAATCATGTATATAAAGTTGTTTTGACTCAAGAAATTAAAATTCATGTGAGAATAGATCTCTATTATGGTCAT